TTGTACGACGTTTATAGCAAATTAGCTACGGCTAAGGAGCTATGGAATGCTTTGGACCACAACTATAAAAGCGAGGATGCCGGCGCAAAGAAATTTGTTGTTGGTCGATTCCTTGATTTTAAAATGGTGGATTCGAAGACGGTCTTGAGTCAAGTTGAGGAGATGCAAATGATCTTCAACGAAATTCGAGATGAAGGAATGACAGTTAGTGAGTCGTTCCAAGTGGCGTCAATTATACATTTGTTGCCGCCGGCTTGGAAGGATTTCAAGAACTACCTTAAGCATAAGCAAAAGGAAATGAACTTGGAGCAATTGATCCTCCGTCTGCGGATAACCGGAAGAATGATGGGAAAATCCCAATCATTCATGGCGCCAAGGCAAACGTGGTGGAGCATGCTAAAAGCTCCAAAAATAAAAATAATGGAACACATTCCTAAATTCACAATTGATGTGAAGCACAAATGTGATATTTGTGTTGAGGCAAAACTAACGAAAACGTCTTTCAAATCGGTTGAAAGAAAAACGGAACCACTAGAATTAATTCATAGTGACGTTTGTGATTTTAAATCAATACAAACACGTGGCGGTAATAAATATTTTATTACTTTTATCGATGATAGCACTCGCTATAGCTATGTTTATTTGTTGAAAAATAAACACGAAGCAATCGATAAATTCATTCTTTATAAGAATGAAGTGGAAAACCAACTTAATCGACGGATTAAAACGGTTAGGAGTTATCGAGGTGGTGAGTATGAAGCACCAATTGGTGACTTTTGCGCGAGCGTGGGTATAGTACACGAGCGTACCGCACCCTATTCACCTCAATCAAACGGTGTTGCCGAACGAAAGAATCGCACATTGAAAGATATGATGAATGTGATGCTAGTAAGTTCGGGCTTGCCACAAAATATGTGGGGCGAAGCAATCTTGACAAGCAATTACCTTTTAAATAAGGTTCCCCGGAAAAAATATGATAAAACTCCGTACGAGTTGTGGAAAGGCAGACGGCCTTCCTATCAATATTTAAAAGTGTGGGGGTGTCTTGCTAAGGTGCTTGTACCAACACCTAAGAAAATAAAAATAGGTCCAAAAACGGTGGACTGTATTTTTATTGGATATGCACAAAATAGTAGTGCTTATCGGTTTTTAGTGTACGATTCGAATAATCCGGATGTACATAAAAACACAATAATTGAGTCAAGGAATGCATCATTCTTTGAAGACGTATTTCCATGCAAGTCCAACGAAGGACCTAGCACGTCAAAACAAACGTTTGACGTAGCTATGGAAAATACTAGTGAGGGATCCGGTGAAGAAGCCGAACCCCGACGTAGCAAACGTGCTAGAGTTGAAAAATCCTTCGGACCGGATTTTCTCACATACTTGATAGAATTCGATTCGAATATTCTAACTTGTATGGTAGAAAATGAACCGGATTTTCTAACATGTTTGGTAGAAAATGAGCCACGGACTTATACGGAAGCCGTAACGTCTACCGAAGGACCAATGTGGAAAGAAGCCATCAAAAGTGAGGTGGATTCTATCCTAAAAAATCACACATGGGAATTGGTTGATCTCCCTCCGGGAAGTAAACCTTTGGGATCCAAGTGGATTTTTAAACGTAAAATGAAACCGGACGGTTCCATTGATAAGTATAAGGCTAGACTTGTAATCAAGGGATACAAGCAACGCGAGGGCCATGATTACTTTGACACGTATTCTCTTGTGACGAGAATAAATTCCATTAGGATGATACTAGCAATTGCCGCTTTGCGGAATTTGGAAGTTCATCAAATGGATGTAAAAACCGCTTTTCTAAATGGCGATATAGACGAAGAAATCTATATGGAACAACCCGAGGGTTTTCGTGTTCCTGGCCAAGAGAAGAAGGTTTGTAAATTAATTAAATCATTGTACGGATTGAAACAAGCCCCTAAACAGTGGCACGAAAAGTTCGATCATGCAATGTTAATTAATGGGTTTAAAATAAACGAAAGTGACAAATGCGTTTATGTGAAAAGCACGGTAGACGGCTATGTCATTTTATGTTTATACGTGGATGATATACTCATCGTGGGTAGCAATAATCTAATGATTAATTCTACCAAAAACATGTTAAATTCTAAATTCGACATGAAGGATATGGGGCTGGCCGATTTAATCCTTGGGATTAAAATAATTAGAGGACCTGACGGTCTGACGCTAAGCCAATCTCATTACGTTGATAAAATCCTTACTAAATTTAATAAGGATGATTACCAAGAGGCAAGGACGCCATTAGATAAAAACGTACACCTGACCAAAAATCATGGAGAGTGTATTTCTCAAGTAGAATACGCTAGGATTATTGGCAGTTTAATGTATCTAATGAGTTGTACCAGGCCTGATATTGCCTTTGTGGTTAGTAAGCTTAGTAGATATACTAGCAACCCCGGTGACGAACACTGGAAGGCAATAGTAAGGGTTTTGAGGTATTTACGGAAAACCCAAAACCTTGGACTGCACTATGGAAGATATCCAGCTGTACTTGAAGGGTATAGCGACGCTAGTTGGATATCTGACATTAAGGATTCAAAGTCCACAAGTGGATACGTTTTCACTTTGGGAGGTGCAGCCGTGTCGTGGAAATCCTCGAAACAAACGTTAATAGCTAGATCCACGATGGAATCTGAGCTAATAGCCTTGGATAAGTGCACTGAAGAGGCTGAATGGCTACGCCATTTTCTCGAGGATATTCCAAGTTGGGAGAAGCCTGTCCCTCCAATATGCATACATTGCGATTGTCAAGCGGCAATTGGAAGGGCACAGAGCAATCTCTATAATGGTAAGTCTAGACACGTTCGTCGTAGACATAATACCATTAAACAACTTCTCACAACGGGTGTTATCACTGTTGACTACGTGAAGTCAAAGGATAACATAGCGGATCCGCTAACCAAGGCATTGGATAGAGAATTGTTGGAGAAGTTGATACGAGGAATGGGATTAAAGCCTGTGAATTGAAAAATTCTATAGTGGATACCCAACCTAGTTGGTCCTAGGTTCAAATGGGACAACTAAATTATAGAGCGAAGGATGGTCACTGTGGGGGTCCCGGACTCCTACCCACTCCTCGTTGAAACAGTGACTCCCGCACGAGGTTAGCAAAAACGTTTGCTTTAATGATTCTAAAATGTTGATTTACTCGATAACATTGAAAGAGTATGCGGGATACTCGTGAAAGAATCACCTATGTGAGAGAGAAGAGGGCCGCTTCAAAGGAGAACTGTAATGGCTCAGTTCTTTAGAAACTCTTGCAGAACCAGGACGGTGACCCATGGCCAAAACGGGCACACCCATGAGAACGGAACAAAGTTGGAAGGTTCTTGTGTAAAGATAAGTCAATGTTTACACGACGACAGTATAGTTCAAAGACATCGAGTCTACTAGACAGCCAGTAAATAAACGGGTCTTTACAGCGGAAGGTTCAAAGGATTAAACCTACCTCTCCGTATACAAGGATCATCCGGTGAACACAACGTGTCCTCCTATCTTCGTGTCTTTTTGTAAGTCTCGAAAATCAATTTTCATTCATGTGGGGGATTGTTGGAAAAATGTGTGAAAAATTGCATTAAATGGCTATTTTGGGACAATTTTTTGAGTGGGGTCCACTTCCGATTTGGGTCGGGTCAAAGTGGTTTCGGATTGTCCTTGTTAAGGGCTACAATTCGATATATGGTACGCTCAAAACGGATAACGGGTGAATGAGAAATCGCTTTTCGAAGTTTACCCGTTAGAAGGGAAAAAGGATGAGTTTCTAGTGTGTTAATTTCCCACACCGGAAAACCCAAGGGATTTGCTACCCTTTATAAAGGGACTCCCCCTTATGGAGTTAAGATTCTTAAGGGTAAAGGCTCTCTCCACGCGCGCAGGGGGGGGGGGGGGTGCAAATCAAATCCCGAATTCGGAGAAGAAAAACCGCGACTTGCGGGCGACCTGCGGACACGAATATCGTCCAAAAATCTATCTCTCAAGAGATACGATTAATTTTTGTTTTCTTCCCGAAACGTTTAATTTTTTCCCAGCGGCAGAAGTGCTCGGACAGAAGCCTACGGATCAGAACACCTCGTTGGTGTTCTGATGGCAGAACCCCTCATGGGGTATTCTGATGGCCGCCCATCAGAGATGGGGTATTCTGATGGCCGCCCATCAGAGTTGGGGGTACTCTGATGGCCGCGGATCAGAGTTGGGGTCTTCTGATTGGCCTCCGATCAGAACCCCTCCCGGGGTGTTCTGATGGAGGTCTTCTGTCGCGCTTCTGAAACGTTACAACAATTAATGCCCAACGTTTATATTTTTTAATGCAGCGTTAAATGGACAGTTCATGGACGATTCAATTCAATGCCCAACGGACTGGTCATTGATTGATGTCCAACGTTCAGGTCCATTAATTCACTATTTTCATACAACAAATCCTCCTATATAAAGGCTGGCAGGTGGTTTGCAACAAAACATGTTCTTACACGAATTTAGACACTCCATTCACGTTTTGCACCTCAAAAACACACTGCTATCATTCCGAAAATTTCCTTCTGTGTTCAGTCTTTGTTCTCGTTCGTTGGAACTCTTGTTTGTGTGCTCAAACATTAGTTCGTTGTCATCGTATCCTGGGAAACTATTATTGCAACGCTCCTAGCACCGTGGGAGGCAACAAATACGTTTTAAGGACATCGTGCGTAGCACGAGCTTTGACAAATTCTGCTCCATCTCATTTCTTGTTTTCTTTCGTCATTTTATTTAATTAATTTATTTTAATTAATTTTCTTTATTTTCCGAAACACACCCAACAGAAAGATCCCATTAGAAGTCTATATTAGGCTGAAAAGTGAGAAGTCATGGCTACTGTTAGATTAACTCGTCCTAACTGTCCGATCTCATCAAAGCTACCGTATCATTAATGGTATATTTGTAATTTTAGTGAACTATATATCCTTTTGTTAAAAGACATGTTTGCATCTCTAGTTCTCTGTCCGTCTCTCCCTCATACGTACTCCAATCATCTCTCCAAATGTTTTCATCAATCTCATGTGTGGCAATTTAATGACAGATCAGTACCATTGATGAGCTTTATGTTTATCACCGACAACGTGTAGTTAGTCCATCGCCGTACAAGACGGAAAGACCGATTTTGAGTGATGAAGAACTAGCCATTGAAGAGAGATCGAAGGTCTGAATCTACTTATTTTTTTTGTAATTTGAAGTACTAAAATCTTCCCTCATTCCGTTCAAATATACGTATTGAGCACCAATTTGATCTGAAACTTAGTTTTGTTTATTTTTGAATCTGAAATTTTGATATGATACGAAGTATTTGCTTATTGAAATGATATCTTTCTAGTAAAAAGTTTTTTCCCTCCTGATTTGTTATCATATCTGGATCTAATCTATATATTTGGCTGGGCATTGGTAGTAAAAGATATTCCATTTTAATCTATCTTTTATTGAGTTAGGCGCCTCCTTCTTGCAACTCGGTGTTCAGCTCTGGAAGCTTGGTCAACGGCCCATAGAAAGAACTCTCCTCCATGTTTCTAAAGTGGTCGCCATAACCCAACCCACGTAGAAGGCGGGTGATGTAGGGTCCAGAAAAGATGGCCTTGATTTTGTATGTGGACTGACGGTGGAAGAGGTCGACAATGATAGCACCCATGTGTGGTAGCTTGTCATGGATCATGCAATAAAGGCACAGAAGGTCTGTAGTGGAGACCTTACCTGCTACCTCGGCCCTCCCAGTGATGGTGGAGGAAAGGAGGGAATGGATGACTCTGTATGCCCGTGGGTACAACAAGGTACTAGGGGTGTCTCAGGGGTCGTACTTGCCGCCATCTCTAGAAATGCTCTCCCAAAATCTTTGCCGGTCAACATCTGGTGAAAAATCAGTCAAGCGTGCTTCATTATCTGCTCTGTCCTCTATCCGGGTAAAACCTAAGTGCCACATGATGTTGTAAATGGACACTGCATGCTCCTCATTGAAGGCCCGGAGCTTGATCATGGGTCTGTGGTTATCTGAGAAACGGATGGATCGGGGCACCTTAATTGTGGCCAAAACCTCGCAAGTCACTTCCTTGAATGTTGGCTCTCGGATGCCAAAGAAAAGGTGTTGCCACCATCCCCTTCGCAGCAGTGTCATCACTTCGTCATGTAGTCCAGCGGCTGTCAATGTGGGCTCATCTGGATAATAAAAGGTGCCCACCTCCTTCTTCAGTAGGTCAAGGTATGTAATCAACTGTTTGTCCTCCATGAATTGAGGCTGATATCGGGCACCTGTTGCCCGATTGGAGTTGGTTCCAAAGTTCTTTGTTCGCTTCTTTGGTGGCACCTGTCAAAACAGTTAAACACCAAGAATTCCAACGGGGCTTCCATGTATTAGAATAAAACTCACAAGTCAAAAGTAATGGCCCCATCAGCAATTAGTTAACCAAGAGCATCAACATAGCTAAAAACAGACCCAAGTTTAACCAGAATAGGTGAAAATTTTGAACTTTTATCAAAGAAAAGTCCTTTGAATAAAAGTCAAATTTTCAGCGACACACGGTATAAACAAGGTCACAAGCAAGAATCCTTCAACACAACAATGTTTTAAAATAGAGTTCTTCCCAAAATAATTAGCAAGAAGATCAAAATTAGGGGAAGAACACAAAATTCTTAAATTTGACAAAGTTTAGCTAAAAATTGGGGGATCACGTTCAAATGGAGTCAACAAAAATCATGGATCATCACAAGCATACTTAATCATCATAGAATGCAAAGAAATCAAAACCCCCAAATTGTTTCACACATTCAACAAGTTCAACCCTAAATTGGCTAAATTAGCTCAAAATTAGGGATTTCAAGCAAAAGAGGCAAATTAATCCACTTAGAACATCAAAATCATCAATACAAGCCTCAAATTAATCATAGATAATCAAATCCCTAATTTTCGAGCTCATGCAAAATCGGACTTGTAAGAGCTTGAAACCTCCATTAATGGTGAAAGAAGAACGAAGAAGAAGAAGATACCTTAGAGAAGAGAGAGGAGGAGAGGCGGCGGTCGGTATTCGCCGATGGTCGGAGGTGCGGTGGTCGCGATGTGTTGCTCCCTCGTCGGTCGTTGGTCGCAGTCGAGGCTCCTTCGTCGGTCGTTGGTCGCGTAAGGGAGAGGGGGAAAGAAAAGGGCTGGGGTTGGTTTATTAAAATCGCGGGGTATTTTTGGGAATTTCACTACGCACGATCGTGCGTAGGGGGCGACGCACGATCGTGCGTCGATGGAAGACGCATACCCCCTGTTCAGTGCTTACGCACGATCGTGCGTAAGGGGGGACGCATGATCGTGCGTCAGTAGCAGACGCTTCCCCCGCTTTTCCCCCCTTGTGCACGGCGTGCGTACCTGGAAGCGCTATTTTTAACGTCGTTTGCCCGACGCAACTACGCATTCAACTCTTCAAATCTGTGAGAAAGGTCACCTCACGTTCGCGTTCTAACGGTCCTCCGTAGTATTTCTTCAGGTGATGGTCGTTAACCTTAAAGCGGCCCTTCTCGGGATGGTTGATAAGTCCGTATTTAGACACGCATTTGATGCGTGTTGGAGTTGGATTTTGATGGTTTTCTCAGCTTTAAGGTGTTGCAAGTCTCAATTTTAGCTCAAGTTATGTTTACCGGGCGTTGGTTCGAGTTTTGTGTTGTTTGTAGTCAAAATCAGGGAATTTGAGTCCGGCACCGGCACTTGAGGAACAATCGGGATGATTTGAGAAGCATTTGAGAATGATTTGATAGCTTTGGAGGTCACCGGAAGATTCACAATGAAGATTCGAAGGAAAAAGAGCTCTAGGACTGGCTTCGGGATAAAAAAGAAGACGAATAGAGCTTGAAAACGACGATCAGGATGACCTTCTGTCAATCGTTCAATCATATCTCTTTGTAGAAACAACCAATGGACACGATTCAAGTTTCATAGGAAAGCCAACTTCAAGGGCTACAAATCATATGAAGACACCTTTGCGAGAATCGGAGAGGAAGAAGGTGAAAACAGACGATGAAGTCAGATGATCTCTGCTGCGATTTCAGAAAGACACCTTCCACCGTTTTGATCATATCTCTTGATTGGATGATTCAAATCACATTCGGCAAATTGGGGTGGATAGAGGACTTCATTATCTACAACTTTCATGAAGGAAATTTTGTCAAATTCGGAAGTTAAGTAGGCACAATCGTGCCCTCAAAGTCAGACACGATCGTGCCTGAAGAGAAAAGCACCCCGGAGCTACTGCCAGCCAGGCACGATCGTGCCTGGAGGGAGGCACGATCGTGCCTGCCCAAAATGCGCGTTTTTGCTCCGGAGGCACGATCAAAGGCACGATCGTGCCTGGCATCGTGTCTGGCTCCGAAAATCCTAATTCAGCTCAAATTTCACCCGATTTTTCTATTTAAACAGCCTGTAAACCCCCGTTGGAGAGAGTGCCTAGCACGAATTTTAGATGGCTTTTTCAGCCTTGTTCATCAATCTTTTGGGATTCTTTGTAAGTTCCACCTTTTTAATTAATGACAATTAATTCTTTTTATTCCAATTCTATTGATTCTTCAATTATGAATTGTGAGTAGTTTTATTTAGGGATTTGGGATTGATGAAGGGGTTAATCATGATGTATGGCTAGATTCTTTTAGGTTTAATTGCATGAATGCCGTTTAATTTGTGTTTGAATAATTTAATTGATATCTTTTGTAACCTAGAATCGCGACTAGAATTACAATTGCATGTAGAATAAATTAAGAGAGATCTAATTTGTTCTAGGACACATTCACACACACTTAATCGTTCGCTAAGAGATTAGTAGCGATTAAGGGGCCGTAAGCTCGCCCGTCTTGGCAATAATTTAGGATCCTGTCGCATGAGAGATCAGCCTGGTCCCCTAAATTATTGTACTCTACGTCGCGAGAGCGGTAAGAACTTAGTAATGATTAGCTAGGCTCAATTAAATTAATTTCATGTAATTAGGCCTGATCTGCCAGAAATCTGGTTACCCCGGAATCGATCCCTGTTCCCTTCGTCATTAATTAGAAAGAACCCCCTAGTTTAATTGTTCGCATTAGTTTTATTTTCCAAACCAACCAATCTCGCATGACGCTTTTATTTAATTTTCTTTTTAATCGCTGAATTTAATTAATTCTTGATTCCCTTTTGTCCGTCCCTGTGGAGACGATACTCGTACTTACACCACTATATTACATCTATTTTAAGTGCGAGAAAACACACATCAGTTTTTGGCGCCGTTGCCGGGGACGGTGTCGGTTTTAAGGGTTAATTAATTTCAGCGAGAATTTTTTTTTAGTTAGTTTTCTTTTTGTTCTTCGTAGGATTTTCTGTGCTAACCTTTCAGGTTTTTTCAAAGAGGCATGAGATGAACCCATTCAGCCAAATTCCTGGAGGAAGTCCTTTTCCTCAAACCTCCATGGAATTTTCACCATATACGCCATACCCTCCTTACACTCCTCCTCCTCAATATTACACACCTCATCAAAATTACTCTCCCACACCACAAAATATTCAGCCTTCTTATCCGTACACTCCAACCACACAACCCTTTCATTCTGATTCTTACTATCCTTCATCACATTACCCTTGGGTAAGTGTAAGACGAGGCTCCATTCTTGAATTTATGCTTCTAAATAAAACGCCTGAGGAAATATCTGAATGTTTTAAGGATAGCATTTGTTCCTTCTGTGGAGGAGATCACCATTTATGTCTTTGCCCCATCAAACCTCTATATGACCATCCTTTCCGGGAAACTGCATACCCCACTTCTTCCTCCCCACAATTTACGAACACAAATGTTTCAGTCACTCCTACGTCTTTGCCGAGCTATGAGCCACAAGATTCAGACGACGAATTGGAAGAGATAATTTCAGAGAAGCTGTCTGACCTGGAAGAGACACTAAAGAAATTCATGCAAGTGTCCGATGCAAGTATGCAGAACATGGAGAATCAATTGGGGCAGATTGCAAAGGCTCTATCTGAGGAGTCCGGGAGATCCCATCCTAGCGACACAAAATCCCAACCTGAGGAGACCAATAGGGATGATCATGTGAGTGATTCGGACTGTGAAGGTGGGAATATGATGCATGATACACTTCCTGATACCTTTGAAGACCCTCCTATGTTTGAAGATGAAGAAGAAGATAATAGTGTCAAGTTGTTTTTCCAAGAATACAGGAAAAAGTTTGAAACGGTACAAGATGTAACTGATGAAGTCACAAATCACTGTGATCTTCATACAGAAACCCCTCAGCCGTTCGATTTATCATTAGTCTCAACACCTGAGGAGGGCAAGGAGAAGATCAGTCTTGATGATGGTGCTACTGAGGTAGGTTTGAGTATTGAAGCTGAGTTGGGAAAAGATGATTACATGCTCCGAGAGAGTGAGGGTGAGTTACATGATGTTCATAATGAAGAAGTCTCGCTCCACAAGCAAGAATTCCCCTCTTGTACTCATGCACCGGTCCACTCTTACGTGGTTTCAGATATGGACTTCTTTGATTCACTTCTTGATGACGAAATTCCTTTTTATGTGGAGAATGACAACATCATCCGGGAAGTTATTGATAAGAACGATGTTAACGAGAGTTGGGATGCCTTCATGGAGAGTGATACAGAGTCTGGAGGAGAGGTTGTGAATGTTCATGATATCTGTGAGGAAGAAGAGGACTTTTCTATGGTGCAATTTGATTATGGTGTTGCTCCTACTCCTTGCTTTGAGACATCTTTTGAGATTCCAGTGATACCTAGAGTAATCCAAGTTTTCACTCATGTTTTCTTTCCACCTGAAGAGGATGAGAGTTTCATACTTCACTTCTGTGCTGATGAGGGTTATGAAGACCATGTGCTTCCTTCGTGGGCTGACGAATTTAAAGATCTGCGCCACCTAATGACATTTGTTGAGAGGAAGCTGGAGATGTTGACTATAAGTGCACCACTACAGTCTTTGCTATTGGAGAGCCTATGGGGTAGTTGTGTCGGGCAAACGACGTTAAAAATAGCGCTTCTCGGGAGGCAACCCGAGCTTTTTTTTTCTGCTTTTGTTTTTGCTTTTGCTTTGTTTGTTGTTTGGTTGTTTTGCTTGTGTATTTTGTTTTTGCAGCTCAGGGTCTTGCTTTGGGGATGATGTGCCGAGGATCATTGACTCAATTTAGTTCTGCACCGACCAACGCCTTAGGGAAGTCTCTTTGACTCTTTTACTCGCTTGTTGAAATATTGACTTGAGTTAAGTTAAGCATGTGTGACCCTATCCTCTTTACCCCCTAGTACATAATTCATATTTCGTCATCGAGGACGATGTCAAAGTTTAAGTGTGGGGGAGTGAATTGGGCATTCGGGCAGTGGTTGTTACATGAGATTTATTAGAGTTAGCATGCGCAGGTGTTAGTTGTATATTCATAGGAAATTCATGCAAAATTTTGAAAATTTTTCTTTAAACTGTGTCTTTGTGAGCTGGCTAGCATTTTGACTATGCTTTTATGACATTCTTGAAGTGTTTAGGCTTAAATTGCTTGCATGGTAATATAGTTGTTGAAAGGATGAAGGCATTAGTCACCAATTGAATTTTCCATTAATCATCCCCCACCTGAAAAAAATCCTTTAGGAGAAGCCATTTTGAGCCTGACCGTTTATTGTTTATCCAATTAATTGAGCTCCATAGCCAAATGGCCTGTGTTTCCTTACCCGTGAATATTTCTGACTTAGTCTTGATGTTTAGGGAACTAAGGGATTAATTTGCTAGGTTTAGGGAATTTTGTGTAGGAGCCATTTTTGGCACTGTTCCTATGCTCCAAATGGGGTAAGAGCAGACACTTTTTAGGAATTTGATACTTTCGAGGATTGCATTGTAGGCATGGACTCACTTTAAATTAATGAACTTTAATTGCTATTTTTCCTTGGTGAGGCCGAAATTAGAATGAGGTAATGTCTAGTGAGAATCCGAAAGGTGAAAAATTAATATAGCTAGACCTCTTGCCTTACGAAAAAGAGAATGGGAGCCCCGGTCAAAAAGCGTAAGATGAGACTTGGGTATCTTTCGAAAGAAACGGCGTTCTCGTGCCAACATGACAAGGAAAACTAAACTTAAATTAATGAACTTGGAGGCTATCTCAAAATTTAGCTTTAGTCCTCCGCGTACTTCAAGTATACGTCAAAACACAAATGTGCCGAGACGGTTTAGCTTAGTTGTACACCATGTCTACTCTTTGCATAGGTTTAAATGATTGTTCCTAAATTGTGGTCTACTGAGTTCCTTGTTCCTAAGAATAGCCCTGAAGTTCCTGAATACATTGAGTCTTTGTTAAAATATTCCAATCTCTCAAAAGAAAGGGACTATTTTTGTTATCCATGAACCATTCACCACCACCTTCACAAGTCCTTCTGATCAATAACTAGTTTATTTGTGTGTGCTGTCACTGCTTTGAGGATGTTGTGAATATTTTGTCAAATATTTTAGCTAGAGTACAAAGATGTAGTTTAGGGAAGAATTTTTGTGGTTTAGTCTACTTGTTCTGTGAATGTCCCTTTAACTATGTGTGCATGCTAATTGTTTTGATTCCGTGTGGTGATTATCGTAAGTCCCGTTGTTCAGTTTGCTTGAGGACAAGCAAAGGCTTAAGTGTGGGGGAATCTGATAAGTCCGTATTTAGACACGCATTTGATGCGTGTTGGAGTTGGATTTTGATGGTTTTCTCAGCTTTAAGGTGTTGCAAGTCTCAATTTTAGCTCAAGTTATGTTTACCGGGCGTTGGTTCGAGTTTTGTGTTGTTTGTAGTCAAAATCAGGGAATTTGAGTCCGGCACCGGCACTTGAGGAACAATCGGGATGATTTGAGAAACATTTGAGAATGATTTGATAGCTTTGGAGGTCACCGGAAGATTCACAATGAAGATTTGAAGGAAAAAGAGCTCTAGGACTGGCTTCGGGATAAAAAAGAAGACGAATAGAGCTTGAAAACGACGATCAGGATGACCTTCTGTCAATCGTTCAATCATATCTCTTTGTAGAAACAACCAATGGACACGATTCAAGTTTCATAGGAAAGCCAACTTCAAGGGCTACAAATCATATGAAGACACCTTTGCGAGAATCGGAGAGGAAGAAGGTGAAAACAGACGATGAAGTCAGATGATCTCTGCTGCGATTTCAGAAAGACACCTTCCACCGTTTTGATCATATCTCTTGATTGGATGATTCAAATCACATTCGGCAAATTGGGGTGGATAGAGGACTTCATTATCTACAACTTTCATGAAGGAAGTTTTGTGAAATTCGGAAGTTAAGTAGGCACGATCGTGCCCTCAAAGTCAGACACGATCGTGCCTGAAGAGAAAAGCACCGCGGAGCTACTGCCAGCCAGGCACGATCGTGCCTGGAGGGAGGCACGATCGTGCCTGCCCAAAATGCGCGTTTTTGCTCCGGAGGCACGATCAAAGGCACGATCGTGCCTGACATCGTGTCTGGCTCCGAAAATCCTAATTCAGCTCAAATTTCACCCGATTTTTCTATTTAAACAGCCTGTAAACCCCCGTTTTCAGGGGGAGCTTAGAGAGAGTGCCTAGCACGAATTTTAGATGGCTTTTTCAGCTTTGTTCATCAATCTTTTGGGATTCTTTGTAAGTTCCACCTTTTTAATTAATGACAATTAATTCTTTTTATTCCAATTCTATTGATTCTTCAATTATGAATTGTGAGTAGTTTTATTTAGGGATTTGGGATTGATGAAGGGGTTAATCATGATGTATGGCTAGATTCTTTTAGGTTTAATTGCATGAATGCCGTTTAATTTGTGTTTGAATAATTTAATTGATATCTTTTGTAACCTAGAATCGCGACTAGAATTACAATTGCATGTAGAATAAATTAAGAGAGATCTAATTTGTTCTAGGACACATTCACACACACTTAATCGTTCGCTAAGAGATTAGTAGCGATTAAGGGGCCGTAAGCTCGCCCGTCTTGGCAATAATTTAGGATCCTGTCGCATGAGAGATCAGCCTGGTCCCCTAAATTATTGTACTCTACGTCGCGAGAGCGGTAAGAACTTAGTAATGATTAGCTAGGCTCAATTAAATTAATTTCATGTAATTAGGCCTGATCTGCCAGAAATCTGGTTACCCCGGAATCGATCCCTGTTCCCTTCGTCATTAATTAGAAAGAACCCCCTAGTTTAATTGTTCGCATTAGTTTTATTTTCCAAACCAACCAATCTCGCATGACACTTTTATTTAATTTTCTTTGTAATCGCTGAATTTAATTAATTCTTGATTCCCTTTTGTCCGTCCCTGTGGAGACGATACTCGTACTTACACCACTATATTACGATCTATTTTAAGTGCGAGAAAACACACATCAATGGTCAATCTCTATAGTTCCGTAAGGAAAAACTTCACTCACTACGAAAGGACCGGACCATCTAGACTTCGGTTTTCCTTTAAAAAAATTTCATTCAGGGGTTGAATAGCAGAACTTGATCCCCTTTGCAGAACTCTTTTCCCTGTTTAATATGCCGATCGTGATAGGCTTTGGTACGCTCCTTACTAATCTTAGAGTTCTCATAGGCCGTAAGCCTCCACTCATCTAATTCGTTGAGCTTCCAAAACCGTTCACGACCCGCCAAAATAAGATCCTTATTTAATTAGCGTTTTCAGGACCCAGTAGGCCTTATGCTCTATCTCTACCGGAAGGTGGCACGCCTTCCCATAAACTAGCTGAAATGGAGTAGTGCCAATGGGTGTCTTATACGCTGTACGCAATGCCCACAACGCATCATCTAACTTATCAGACCAATCCTTCCTATGGGTCTCAACGGTCTTCTCAAGGATGGTCTTAATGTCCCTATTCGAGTTCTCAACTTGGTCACTAGTTTGAGAATGATAAGGAACGTCCCCCCTTTATGAGCGACCCTGTACTTTGTCAGAAGGCGAGTCATGGGATCATTTCTAAAGTGAGTACCCTTATCACTTATCAAAACTCTTGGCAGTCCAAATCTAGAAAACAACTTCTTTAGAAAATGAATCACAACTCAAGCATCATTTTTTTTAACCCGGAAGGCAAACCACTAAATTGGCGTGAAAGAATTCATAGCTAAACAATTGGCTATGAATTCTTTCAAATTGGAGACTTCTTCCTTTAATTAATGCAAATAAACTATGGCAGATGACGCCATCGACGGTACTATGAGGGTGTTTGGAACTGATTCTGCTTCTTCTTTTTTAAAGCAGAAGCAGAATCAGTTTTCAGAAGCTGGTCACCCTCAGCTTCTAAAACAACTGATTCTTGGAGTAAATTTGAGTACCAGAATCACTTCTGCACTTTCACCCAAACACTCTAGTTTCTGCTTCTGCTCTCTGAAGGAGCAGAAGCAGTTTTAAGAATCAGATCCAAACACCCCCTATATTATGGCTAGACCTGTCAATGGGTCGGGTCCGGGTCAGAACGTAGTGTTCCAGACCCGGACCCGCTAAGTAAATAAAGGACCCGGACCTGACCCGTTTACCTGGCGGGTCTAAAAATTTGGACCCGAACCCGGACCGAACGGGTCTCGGAACCGGGTCGGGTAGACCTGCCAAGAATCATATGCACCAGTGCACACCATTATATAATTTTTTTGACACAACATTATATAATTTTTTAAAAATAGCAAAACATGTATATGAAAAGTAAATCAAAGTGCACAAATTTAAAAGCAAAATATATCTTCACTTTTCAAAAAAAATCAAGGTTTATCATAGAAATTTAGTACTTATAAAACATCGTTTGTTGTAGATGCGTACAATTCCGCACTTTGTGTCTCTTTCTCTCTCACAGAAAACTCGTATATTAGACTAGAAATTAGGTCACAAAAAGTTCTTTTGGACTAAAAGCATATTATATACTATTATATTATCACTTATACATTAGGTATGTATTAATTTGTATCTTTTTAATCAAAGAATTAAAACTAATCACTTTATATATATATATTAGTTTGTATTTTTATTTGAAGTATTATAACTAATCTCTTTATGTATTAGTGTGTGTATATATACTAATAAGAAATTTTAAACGGGTTCGGGTCCTTAACGGGTCGGAATCATATGTACCATATCCGACCCGTTTATTAAAAGTACTAACGGGTCCGGGTTCGGATCCGGATAAACAGAATAAAATAGTGGAAATTACCCCCGTAGACCACTTTTCTACTCGGCATATCATTCATGTCCCCGTACAAATTTCTTTTCATCTTTAAACTTTTAACATTTCAGTTTTGTTTTTTATTTAAAAAAGAGTCTAAACCTTAACTCAATCAACCGTACAAAATCCAAATCTTCAAATCAAGCTTTGCATCTGTTCATCTTCGTCTCCTCTAAGCTTCAATTCGCACCATCCTAATTTCATCTCCTCCACCATTCTCTAGCTTTGAGTTCCTCCCACGCCTCCGCACTCCGATTATCCCTTCATCTCCTCCATCTATTCGAAGGAGACGAACAATTGGTATTAAGAGTATGAAAATTATGCTCAGATTTCTCAGTTCACGATTCTCTCGGACCAAGCCCTTTGCGACAAGAGCTTTGATCCCCAAGACATTGATGACGTAATGAACCTCTTCGAGCTTGAGGCCTACAAGGCCTAGGCAGCCATGGATCGGAGCTTGAGCGGGAGAAACAGATCGAAGAAGCAGTGATTCACATGTAGCAACTCTGCCATGGACAGCGCCATCGAGGAGTTCCGACGCTTCGAGGAGGAGATGGATCAGATGGCTCAGGCGGAGTACGACCATCTAGTCGCCGTCGCTGTCGCCGATAACACGAGTGGCGTGGAGAATACCATGGAGAGGGCGGCCACTGTCTCTGTGAAGAAGTATATCGATGCCGCCGTCAACTCTGCTACCTCTTCCATGAGATCCGCCCTCAAGGCCGTTTCTTCCCATTCCAAAAAGGTTCATCCTTCTTGAAGAGCAATCAATTAACTATTTCTACTATTAATAGTTATGTTGTGAACAATTATGGGCAATTTGGTGTACATAAATGAAAATTTATGTGAATTGATGAATCCATTAAGTAGTTCATGGTGCCAAATGTCACTGATGTTGGTCTCAAACCAAGGCCAGTGAAGAAGATTGCCATAATTGGTGGAGGTCTAATTGGATTTGGGATAGCTACAACACTTAAAGGTTTGATGTCTAATGGATCTTACGATTTTGATGAGTTGCACTTATCGTAAAAAACATTATATTTAATTCACTGTAAATCTAATGATTGTTGTAATATTACAGGTTCTAATTGATTATGTAGCAATTTTGCTATTTTGAGTAATATTGAAGGTTGGTCTGGCGATAATGAAGCATTTGGAGGCATTTTTGTCCTACTTGAGCCCTGAAGTGTGTACTTATTGCTAATGTACACTTGTAACAGCCATTTGATTGCTGATTTCACAAACTCGCTCCATTTAATCCATGTTCTCTTTGCATCATGAGCATATGTTTACTTACAATGACATTGAAATAACATATATTTATAGTGGTACTTATATATATATATATATATATATATATATATTGTTTCTTTTTGTTGCATTTTGTGTGTTGCTTTTTGTTGCGTCATGTTGTTTTTTGTTGCAACTTGTTGTTGTTTGTTGCATTTGATTGCTGATTGTTGTTTGCAATCAATCAGGAATGCTACTATTTTGCTATCTAGACACTTTGCAGGGTTGGTTACTCGAATGAGGTATCACTGTATTAATCTCATCCTCATCATTTATGCTACTAATCTTTGCAATTACGTATCCCGGTGTTGTATGTAACTTTGCAATCACATAACTTAGCATTGTTTGTGTCTTTTTTAAAGCTTAAACCTTTTCCCTGGATTTATGTTTTCAGGCACTCCGTTTGATGAATATTGTGAGGGATGACCCTAATAGATGCTATTTTCTGCCTGTATGAGATCAAAATATATTATTGTGATACAAGTTGTTGTCTACATAGTAAAAACTGATATTTGTTGAAAAATTAAACGCATTTTTCCAAAAAAAAACAGAGATTGTTTCACTCATGGAGAGCTATGCTTTTAATATACTTGATGCTTCAAGATTAAAAATTGTTCCCCACCTATGCAAAAACAAAACATTAACCTCAAGTGAAATCTCTACTAGGCCAGTCAAGTTATTTTCTCTTGATTGCTTTTATTCAACTCGTGATGGTGCCAATATTTACTGTTTCTATACTTTTGACAGGTTTTGGAGAAGCTTATTGGAGAAGCATGTTGCAGCTGGCATTGGAAAACATCCCATTGTTTTTATGACTCATAGGTTGGTCTGTCCTTGTCTTGGGAACTTTTATTAACTTTATGACATAGGTTCTTGATTTTACGTTGCTAGAATTTACTTTAAGTACCTTTCAAGTTCTTTTTGGATCCTCTTTTTAACGCAAAGTGTATTAGTTCAACACAGATTACATGAAGAGTTTAGCACTATCTTGTTTATTTATTAAGGAGTCCACTCGACAAAACCTATGGTGTACCTAAACAAAATTGTTGATGGATGTGTTGCTCGTGTTGCAGCCATTTTGGAAATGATGGAACCATTTTCTAGTGTTATGGACATGATTGGTATAGAATGATTAGATATGTGAGGAGAAAGGTCTTCTTCAACCAGTGAGAATGTCTTATTAGCTACAACTGATCACCGTGCTTGCTTCCATAAGGCACACCTACGCCAGTGCCAGTATGAGTGACATACAGGAGAAGAATTGAGAAGAAGTGAAACCAAATAATATAATAGATAAATGTAGTAAATTGAAATAATTGGTCAAATTGTATATTTGTTGTGAAACTATATATACACGTACTATTATATTTTGTTGCTTTTTGTTGTACCACATATGTTGCATTTTGTTGCATCGTGTTGCATTTTGTTGCATCTTATTACTTTTTGTTGCACTCTGTTTATTATTATTGTTGATTTAGATTTTTGTTGTTTATTTAGATTTTTATTTATTTTTCTAAATTCAGAAAATAGAAATATCTTGATAGATTTAGATACAAACATTGAAAATATTTAATTTTGATTTATGACCATGAAAAAAACCAGAAACATAAAGAAACACTAAAAAACAAAATTTTTAGAAATGTCAACAAAAAGAAATCATATGCAACAAAAACTAAAAATATAATGATAATAATAATAATTCAAAATTTATGTACTTTAAGAAACATTTCATTCAAAAACAATTTTTTTTTATTTTTTTTTCAATTTTATTATTTTATTTTTCATTTTTTTCCCTTTGAGTTTTTTTTATTTACACTATTCAAGTTATATTACCTTTCCGATTTTTAAAATTTTATATGCTCGTATATATTATATATTTTTTAATTTAAAATTTGAGAATTTTTTGATATTATTTTTAATATGATTTTTTTTCGAAAATATTTACTTTTTAATAAAAGTTTCTAAATAATTTTTATGTTATTATCACTTTAAAAACATTTTTATCTTGTTTAAAATATGTTTCATTATTTATTTTTTTAACCATTATATACGTTTTAGGAAAATTTTAATTTTTATATTTTTATAGAAATATATGATAAAATTACAATACAGAAACCAAACTTTGAACGTTTTTACAATTTCTCATATTTCAAACTTTTTATTGTTTTTTTCATGCTTTTTACGTTTTATATGTTTTTTTTGTGATTCATTTTTAAAATTAATTTCATATTCAATTATTTTCAAGTTTAATTTTACAAGTTTCCAATTTTTTCTTCTTTTATATTTCTTTTTTGAGTTTTTTGCTATTTTGTAAAATTAAATTTCATTTGACAGAAGTTTATTGTTGGATAAGCATATCATATTTTAGAATCTTTACGTTTTCCTATTTAAAAACAAAAAAAAAAACAATAGCTCCTGCACTTTGTATTACGAAGGATGAGTAAAGATTCCATGCTTACGTGTCAAATGAATCTAGTGTATTAAGTCAACTGTGCGTCCTGCGGAGCATAGTCCATTTGTGAAAGAAAAACCTTACGTAGTTTATATTTGAAAAGAAATCTACCGAGAGACAAAAGTGATATATTTTTCACTTTTAAGACTATTTGTGATATTTTCCCAATAAAATAAGGACCCATACCCGTTAAAAACAATCAGGTCCAGGTCGGATCCGGGTCTAGACCCGACCCATTGACAGGCCTAATTATGGCTATTAAAATCTGGTCTTCCATCTTCGTCCAACCAAACCATTCAGGCTGCCCGAACCTCTATTTCTAACCGCCCGATCAGGAGATTATTATATCCTTCCGTGACTTGAAACTCAATTTATTTACACATACATAACTGTTAAAGAAGAATGATGAAGATACATACTCCGTAACTGTTAAAGGCCAATATGCACCAACATATATCAATGCAAGTGTTTTTGTTGCAGCGTTTAAACTTTCAAGACAAGCGTGACAAGCATTCCTAATTAGAACGAAGAGTCAGGAGTGTTATTAGTTTATTACACTTAAGAGAGCATTATGGGCCAGTTCGCCCTTATAAGTTTTGCCACTGGCAAAAGCAATATCTTTTAGTTTATACAAAAGCTACAAGGTCTTCCAATGTTATGGGTTGGAAGGGAGGGGTGTTGTGGATCCGTTTCCATCGGTCAGATTTGACTTACGTATGCCAGTGCCCAGAGGTCGATTCCAACTATCTCCTTGTGCACACACAAAGGTTAAGGGGCAACAATCTATTCTATCTTCCCACATTCCTCTCACTCTACTTCACAAAGAAGAAGAGGTTCACAAAGTCTGTATTTTGAAGGCTTCACAGAAGTGATTGATATATATACAGCTCTCAAGGGATTGAACGGACAATGGCACAACACAATCACACACCTCACTTATTTGGGTTCAAATTCAAGCAGGAGAAACAGATCCCGTACAAAAAAAATTGGTAACTAGAGTTAGAGGAGTGGGTTGAAAATAGGATGTCAACCGAATATGGTTATGTAATTATGAGTTCGAGCTGCAGCACATTATCGGTTTTGGGAGAGACCAATACCATTATCACGCGGTAGACATTAATTCCTCAATAATGTCTTCGCGTTTAACCCCAATCAAAAAATGAGCGAAAGGAATTGGTTGTTTATTTAGATGATAATGATAAATAACAGATCAATGTTGGAAAATATTCCATTTAAGTGTCCTTGGACCATTTATATAATTTAATATAAATTGGGGACATTTATGTCTTACCATTAAGATTGCCATATGACAGATTTGGTCCCGGTATTTATGTACAGTTAACATATGATGGGTATGTTTTAACATTAAATAATACATAAGGGGCCAATGAGGTTTCTCTTTGATACAAGATATAAGGCTCGTTCGTTCCTCTTACGACTAAAACGAAAGAACGTGTTTCTTCCCAAAGGTCATAACACCTATATTAAGAGACCCAAGGGAGATCGTTCAATCCATCGCAAATCCGCTTGTATCCTTAGAGAATCCAACGACATCATGGCTTCATCATCTTCGTCATCAAAGTTTGGTTTCTCCTCAACCGGTTAGTGTTCTTATTGTTTGATTATATGAATTTTATCATGTTTAGTGAGACTAGATCCTTAATTGGGACTGAATTTCTCTTCATTTGGTATCAGAGCAGTTAATTCTCACTTTACGTTGATAAAATTTTGAAGTTTCAATCTGCCTAAATGATTTTTGAGTTTAAACTGATCCGATTAAGTTTTCGGAAAGTCTGCGGCACTTGAAATTTATTTTCCTGTAGCATCGACACCAGTATATCACCAAACGTAATGTATATGAACATATTTTTTAATGTTGGCTTTGTTTCCTAGTTCGCCTTTTATTTGATTCCCATCTGTTTGCATAGGAACGATTTGGAAACAAATTTTTAGTTTATATGCAACTGCAAATTTGTTTAAAACTGAAATTCACCTTTGATGTGAATCTGTTTGTTTGCCTTTTGGTGGTTTAAAATAAAACTGAAATTGCAATTATTAATTAATAAACCAATGATGCATCAATTTGCTTTTGCACCTGCAAAATTTTCTAGCACGTATGAATGAACTAAAGTACATATTATCTGCCATTAGAAGTGCATATTACTTTGTTTGATTAGGATGAACATGACAAACCATTAAATTTTGATAAAATGATATCCAATCGTCAGTTTGGTTGTAGATCATAAATTTGCAGAATCACTCTAGTGTATATTCAGTCTAATGCAGAGTAGATATTATTTTGTCTGCTTGATTAAGATTAACAAACGCAGACCACTAAATTTTGATATGATAAATGGATATGCATCTATCAGTTATTAATTATACACATGGTTCGTGTGTTAACTGTTAAGACATTCAAATTTTCCCGAATGTGTAAAATTATCCTAAGTGCTGGTATACAATTCGTTAGGAATACTTATACACAAACTGATTATACCATTCTGGAAACTAGATTTTTCACCCGTGCTCCGCACGGGATGACTTTACTAATAATGAAATTATCAATATATAAATATCTATTTAATATTTCATCCATAGAAACCACTTTGATAAATGTATATATGACAACTATGACATATTATTATAGGCTATTTAGTAAATAATGTTAAGGATGTATTGATTGCTCAATCGTCATATTCACTCTGATAAGCTTGAGTCGAGATGAGTTCTATATTATTAGGATTATGCCTTTCATATTATTCATTGTGTGGAATATAAATCACAACTTCCAAATTGTTAATTGTTAAAAATGTTTGCATTGTATACAAACATTAGCTTCTCAAATTAAAGATTACCGCCATTCTTGTTGATGACTTTGAACATAATTAAGAATGAATGTGGATTCTATAACACTGAGACTGGGGTAAGACCTCCTTTTCAATGGGGTGAGGGCAATGCTTTCAATTATTTTCTCTTTTACTTTCAAAAAAGGTTTGTGATTGATATTGTTATCTTGTTTACATAAACATACGGCTTTAAAATGTCATACTCCGTATAACTCTTACGCCAATAAAATTTATATTATCTATTTTTTCCTCTATCTAAGGTTATTAACACCAATATTATATTTCAACTCATGGGAGCCGACATTAAACTCTTTTAGAGATAAGTTTTGATTGTTGTTGTGAATCCTCCTCTAAGAAAAAATCAAGTAATCAACAAAATCTATATATACACGCCTAAAGGCCACTTTGGGGTGTTTGGCGTTTTGACTATACCATCAGTTAATTAGAGTGTTTGGTTGATTAGCTTTTCTATTTAACTTTTTGAAAGCCAATAATTCAAGCGTTTGGGCATAGCCTTTTCGGTTAGTATCATTTAATCCTATTGTATTCCCACTACTCCACTCGTATTCTCGATAAATTGCCCTCTTCTCTTTTACTTGCTGAAGAGCAAAAAATAATTTTTGCTGGCAACTGGCAAACAACTTTGGCCGAAGAGAGGAAAAAATAGACCCTACATTGCACACGTGTTTCAAATGGGTTAGATTGTTAGAACAATCATTTAATTCTTGTTCAAGAATAATACGTTAGCCACACTTCTATACGAACAACTTTTGAATTAAATTTATTAATTTGTGAATCGAAAAATAATGTTTAAAATAATTATTACCTGTGATAATACTTTTTATTTTTTAAAATTAAAAATACAATTTAAGTAGTTGTCAAACAATTTATTAATTTTCAAATTTGTTACATTAATAAAAAATTAATTGATGTCCTTAAATGTTTTTTAGCAAGCTATCAGGTGATTGTAAACACACCAAACATCATTTTACAAATTGCTAATCCTATCAGCTAATCAAAACAACCAACTGAATCTGCTATCATCAATAGTTAACACAATCACCCAACAACCAATTGCTAAACATCCCCTTGTATATTTTATAATAAAACACCGAAAGCCGAATAACTTTACATGAATAATTCGAAACAAAATCATTATAAAAACCCGCATCTGAATAAATTTTATATGCAAAAAGAGCCATATAGTTTAACATTCTACTTCCATCTAATAAAACCACAAGTAAATATGAGAAGGTGAGTGAATTCACTTGGCATGTTAGGTATTATATACGTATATGCCCTCCGTCCCACTAAGAACTTCCTACTTTGACCTACACACATACTGTATTAAGGAATTAAATTTGACTTTATTGTAGAGTACACTGTTTGATACTGTTTTGCACTGTTTGACACTGTTTTCATGTAGGATAACTTTCCATTTAGGGAAATGAGAACTTCATTTAGGGACGGCTAAAAAAGGAAAGCAAGAAGATCTTAGCGGGACAGAGGGAGTATATAATTAACAAAGCTTTGTTTGGAAAAACAATTTTTTTTGTTTAAAAAGAAATTCACCAGTGCGTTGCACTGCACGGATGAAAAGTTTTGTAAAAGAACTTTTGTTTAAATTTTTTTTTAAAAAAAAAAAACTTTATTATATACTCAATGTGTGCGTGTAAAAATTTAAAAAAAAAATTGTTTAAAAGAGAGTATGAAAAGCATGTATAAGTTATAACATGATACTCCTCCAAAAACAAAGTTATGACGTGATACGGTTACAGTTCAGAAGTCCAAGCAGCAAATATAATTGAAAATGGCTGGAAACCTTCTAATAAAACATGCTCATATAGAACATGCTTTTAGGGTTAAAAAAACATGCTCATATAGAACGGGGGTATTACATCTTTTGACATCATCAATGGAAGAAGAAGCCTTTAGGGGGTCTTCAGAAGCATGTAACCCCCCCCCCCCCCAATACCCAGCACACGATTAAACGGTTCGGTCACCCAAATTGCCCTAGTGAGAATGTACCGGTTCTTCAAAAAAAAAAAAAAAAAAAAAGTACCGGTTCTTCAAAATGGCAGAACTGGCATTGCTAATGGTTTGTTGAGCAACCGCTAAGGAAAACTTTGCCCCCGTTTGGACCATAGCGGATTTGCTCAAACCACTGATATATTACAATAGGAAAACGCTCTAAATTGCTGCGGGTCAGTACTAATCCGCTGGAAAACAAACATACCCTTTGTCTTTTTTAAAACTTCAGGTAACTTCTTTGACCTTTTCATTGACGATTGTTGCTCCCAAACCAATCTTCTCTGTAAGCCCAATCTTTTGGCTGTGTAAGTGGAAGTGAACTGGTGTTTGTCGTCAAAAGACTCGGCTTTATCAACAGCATCGATCATTGCCAAGAACAAACCCCTTTGCCAGCATGCTACTAACCAAGTCTTCTGCTTTCTGGATTGTTGATCCACCACCACACTAACATGCTTTCGGTGTAGAGAAGCCTCAATTAGGATCTTATACTCACGGTCAAGAATTGACTGATAAAATTAACAAAATGATGTGCTCATATCCCCACCTCCTTTCAAACCACTGGTTTTGTTGCAATTGAAAGAGCTCAGGGTGCTCGTGATGAGAGTAGATTGCCCATGAAATTCAGAAGTTGAATAGCCATTTGAAAAACCTGGTACTACGATATTCTCTCCCGAGCTGTGATTGTTGTTCTGGCTGAAGTTATAATGAGTGGAAGTGAAGATGGGATAATTGACCTATCATCAAGAGAAGAAGCCGTTTCCTTTCCTTCAGCTTCTACTCATGTTTGGTTTCTTCTTATGGCTTTTGGCATCGACCTTAGCAGGCAACAATAATGCAGCATCAATAAGAGCACTGTAATAACACAAACCAAATAATAGGATTGGGTTAATCAGACAAATAGAATGTGAAAATCATAATAGAATAATAGACTCAACTAATCAAATAAGAGGGTACACACATGTACATCACTTTTATTTTAACTCGCTCCAGTATAGCTTCATAACTAAGAGGAATATGTAGACATACCAACATAAGGTGAAACTGAAACACACGGAATGACGGAATGTAAAAGAAAAGAAAAAAGAAAGACATGAAATGAAACAAAATGGAAGAATCACTAATTTTATTCATTTTTAGAACTATAATGAAAATTAAAACCATTCAATTCATTTGTATAAGAAGAGTAAAACCCTATAAAAAGTTTTTTTTTTTTAATTTATAAATATTAGAGCAACCCTTGATTCGTGACACTTAACAAATTAAAAGGTGTAGGATATTCTTTTAAGTTTAAGACGTCATAAATTAGAAAATTTCTATTCTTTAGATTGATAAGAAATTCAAACAGTTCACAAATTGACATTATTTAATGTGAAACTAAATGCTATGAAAATTTAAAAAAGTGCAATCAATTGATCAATTGCAGAAAAACTAATGGAAGATAGAGAAATATTTGACCTTAAAGAAGATGACTCCAGGAAAATCACTGAAGTGTTGAACCAAGTGAATAATCTCCAAAGTTAAATAAAAATAAAGAAATATAGATCAAAGGAAAAATTAGGAAAAACTAAAGTTGTCATTTATAAGATAGATTACGACAGAATATAGAGAAATCATGTGGTTTAAGCATTCTGAGCAATATAAAATCATTATGAGCAACAAATAAAATCATTTTTCTCTTACTGTGTGATGTCTCATGTGGCTTGATTAACAACTCAGCAGGTTTTCAAAATTACTGAATTTATTTGAAACAATGGCCTTTTTATTGATGGAACAATGGTTTAATTAAACAAATATTAATCAAAAGGCAGTCTAGGTATGCCATTACTACATAAGACATCAAGCAATCAAACTAAATAAATCAGAAAAGTAAAAACTAATTGAAAAGATTTAAATTAACAAATAAGGAGTATTGTTTTAAATGATCAGTAAAGATATGTCCATACAACATAATGCATCATATTAAAGAATCTGGAAAAGTAAAAACTAATTCAAGTACTAAGCAAAGCATATTCCTATGAGGCTGGTGTGATCCAACATTTCCACATTGTATATTTTATTATTTCCAGCAGCTGAAAGGTATAAGAAATATTATATGACTTGGAACAAAGAAAAAAAGTTGAGATATAGAATGGATGGGATTTACAACACCAACAAAAATTAGCAGATGAGAAACTGAACTGAACGAAGAAAACAGTCCTAAGTCACAATAAAGAATAAAAGATTAAATAAAAAATTCAAGCGGTGACGAAGTACAAAGACACATGATGAGATTTATAGCGGTTTTACAAATTTGGGAATTCAAAACTGAGATAATTGAAGTATGAGAGGAAATTGAAGTAACAAAATGGGGAGATGCTCAAATTACAATGAGGCTATGAGAACTGTACTCAAACTTTCATGCAAATCAAATGAAAATGAAACTGATGTGCTCTATTAGTGAAATAATTGATCGCAGAACAGGAAGGGTGTAAATGATAATAGAAATAGAGGCTCCAAATATAATGTCAAAATCTGCCGTCTCTAATCTTTCTTCCAAGTAAAATCAGATTCAAATAGATAAACTCATGTTAGAGTGAACAATAACACTTGAAAACATGTTTGTACAATAATGTACCACTATTATGTAGGAGGAATCCATGTACTAAAGGGATTAAAATAAATAGGATAAATAGATATAAAATAACAGGATAACAAAACAATATTCAGTAATAAGTTCTTTACAAAGTGACCTTTGTTAAAGATTTCAAAGAAAATTTTTTAAAAGCACTTTTAAGCCAAATTACCTGAGCTGATTAAACCCTTAATACGAAAAGTCCTTGCTTATCAAACCATTGTTATCGCCAGTTTGAAGCAGCCTCCCCTACTCTGCATCGCTCGCATCTGGAATCGTTATTATAGATGGCCAGATCAAGTAGCTTGAATCCAAGTAAGGACATAGGTATTGAGCTAGAATGTTTAGCGCCAGAGCTTGAAAAACTAATAGCATACTTGCAATTTACCGCATCTTCATATCCCTTGAGTGGATATTGGTTCCATGGAGGTTTGTACATTAGTACATGACTACATGGTTAGATGGAGGAAGGCCAGGAAAGGATAAGAAAAAGAGAAGAATGGAAGCTCTGAAGAGAGGAACGAAGAGAAGGGACATGGGGTAACCATATAAATAAGATATCATGGATTATATATGATGTCTAGAAGGGGGTAAGCGGATATTCAGTCCATCCGAACTAAAAAACAATATGAAATGAAAATAATACTTATATCCATTAAATCTAAACCATATCATCTGTTTTTTAATTCCGTTTTGCATAATGAATGAGGAAATAGTAAAAAAAAAACTCACCTATTACCTCTCAATTTGGTATCTTTTAATTAGACAAATGAGGATTTTCAGTCTTAGAGAAACAAAATGGGAAAATAAGAATCGATGTGAGTTGGTATGAAGATTTGAAAAACAAAAGAAAGTGATATACTGATACAACAAACGAAATCAGTCATTTTGAAATAGGAATAAGAGGAACATGGCCCCTTATCTTTCACCACTGAAGGAGTTTGTGCTCTCAACTGTTGGTCTTCAATATTTGATTTACTTCTAATAAATAGGTAACACATTATCTAATACACAATTATGTTTTATCATCTAAAAAAGTAAACAAATAAAATAATCGTCATAAACACAATTGAGAAATGTTTAAGATTCGTCAAATAAAAAATTGGACAGTTTAAAATTGTGGCTTCGAACTAAATAAATAAAGAAAAAAATCAAATGTAAACTGGGAAAATCAGGCAGATAGCTTCCATTGTTGGTAGAATCATGGAATAATGAAATTGAGATTGTAGAATTGATAAAAATATAAACAATACCTTGTCGTAGCCAGACGACATGCCATCATCTTCTGCAACCATAGCATAGTATTGTTTCTGTGAGGGAGGAAGATGAGAAACTGATTGGGAGATTCTGATTCTCTGCAATTTTGGCATCGGAGGATTAGATGAAGGCCTTCGAAGTCAACTCCTAATTCCTCTGCAATTTCGGAGAGAGATGAAGGCCTTAGAAGTCGATGAGAAATGAGAAATCGATCTAGGGCTCCAGATTCAACTGCAATTTGGGAGAGAGAAGACCTTCGAGGTTGAACTGTTGAAGATGAGACATGAAAAACCGATTATGAGAAAACCTGAGCAGTTAAGTTCGCGGCCGAAAGAAAGGGAAGTTGAGGAGCGAATGCGCAGGTCTAATTGAGGGAGAGAGAAGCCAAAGAGCTCATGCGGTAGATCTAATTTGGCATCTGACGATGGAAATAGCTAGACGTTTGAGCGGGAGAATGCTTTGGTAAAAGTAGTGCAATTATGTAGGATGATTTGTTAATTTGAGCCGTTTGAATAGTCTGTTACTAATCTGCAGATTTTGACTTATAACAAATGCAAATATATAATGTAAAATTTGTTTATGAATATTTGCTTCCATATTCCAAGTTTTAGTATGGATTATTGATTAATGATCTTAATGTCAAATTCAATGATCGGCCCAACGGAAGATTATTGATTTTGACTATCTTAAACAATTATATGAGTTTTCTTTTAACAAACCCAAAGGTGTGTTATTTGATAACTTATGTAATGAAATTTAAGCATAAATGAATGTGTTATATTTCTGCCCAAAGGTGATATATGACATATTTGCAGCCTAATTTTAATTTTAATATCATAATGTTTGATAGTTAGCATTAGCCAACGCAATGTTAGTTATTAAACACGATATGAATTTTCCTATTATTTGGTGTTGATAATAGGCTTATTTACTAATAATTGACACGCCTTATTGTATTCCCTTATATATTATAAATAGCTTCTATTATTGCCTCTGTTAAACCTTTTATTTCAGCATCTACTGTTACCCCATACAATTATGGGATAGAACCTCTAAATGGCACAAACTTTTCAACATGGAGAGAATCTATAAAACTCTCACTTGGCATGATGGATCTCGACCAAGCACTGAGAATGGATCCACCAGGTGCTCCTAATGATGAAAGCACTGTGGAACAGAAGCGTTCTTATGAACAGTGGGAGAGGTCCAACCGAATGTGCCTCATGGTGATTAAGAATTCCATATCTGTAGCCATTCGCGGAGCCATTCCTGACTCTGAAAATGCGAAGACCTACCTAGAATATGTGGAAGAACAATTTAAGGGCACTTCTAAAGCACATGCCAGTACCCTAATTCTCAAAATGTTGACGAGTAAGTATGATGGAGTAAGTGGTATTCGTGAGCACATCATGAAAATGTCTGATATGTCTAACAAGCTCAAAAGTATGGACATGGAGATCAGTGAAGGTTTCCTCGTTCATTTCATAATGACTTCTCTACCTGCGTCTTATGGTCCATTCAAGATCAATTACAACACGCAGAAAGAGAAGTGGACAATGAGCGAGTTGATTGCTATGTGTGTTCAAGAAGAAGAGCGCCTTAAAGCTGAAAGACCAGATGTTGCTCATCTCACCACCACAAACTCAAAGAAAAGGAAAGGCAACCGTCAAGGAGGAGGAAAAGGTAACATTTCTAAGGTCCCAAAGATAGGTGCAACCGTGAACTCTGGTCCCTACTGTAAGTTTTGCCATTTCAAAGGGCATTACCAGAGGGAGTGTCCTAAGTTTAAGGCATGGTTGACTAAGAAAGGTAACTTAACCACTTATGTTATTTATGAGTCATTGAACACATCAGTTCCCCTTAATACTTGGTGGATTGACTCTGGTTCAATGGTTCATGTTTCAAACACACTGCAGGGATTCCATTCAATCCGGACATTGGGAAGAAAGCAAAGAGTGATTAAGGTGGGCAACGGAGAAGAATTAGAAGTGGAGGCCATTGGAACTATCTCATTAATTTTAGAGAATGGCTTCATTCTTCATCTTCGTGATGCTCTTTATGTACCTAATATTACTCGTAATTTAGTGTCTGTATCGAAACTAAGTGCTGATGGTTTTACATTTAATTTCGTATACAATAAAGTGACATTAAGCTTGAACTCAAATGTAATAGGATTTGGTAGCATGGAGGGAAACCTCTATAAGTTATGCTTAGACACTAATTTTATGGAATTCCCATTGTCATTTAATATAACTGAAAATCCTTGCAAGAGAAAGAGAGAATTGGAATCGTCGTCCAATTTGTGGCATCAAAGGTTGGGCCACATATCACGAGATCGAATGATAAGACTCGTGAAAGACGGCATTCTTCCAAATCTTGACTTCTCAGATTATGACAAATGTGTGAAGTGTTTGAAAGGGAAATTATCTAAGAAAACTAAGAAAGGCGCCACGCGAAGCACTGGTTTGTTAGAATTAATACACACGGATATTTGTGGGCCTTTTCCCGATTCCATTAGTGGTCATAACTCCTTTATTACTTTCATAGATGATTACTCACGCTATATGTACCTATATTTGATTAAGGAAAAATCTGAATCACTAGATATGTTCAAGGCTTATAAAGCCGAAGTTGAAAATCAACTTGATCGAAAGATCAAAGTAGTGAGATCGGATAGGGGTGGTGAGTTCTATGGTCGACACACCGATATTGGTCAAGCTCCCGGTTCTTTCCATGAATTTTGTAAAGATCACGGGATCATCAACCAATATACCATGCCCGGCACCCCTCAACAAAATGGGGTTGCCGAAAGGCGAAATAGGACTCTTATGGATATGGTCCGAAGTATGTTGGCTAACTCAAATCTTCCCCAATTTTTATGGACCGAGGCCCTTAAAACAGCAACCCACATATTGAATAGAGTACCATCTAAATCTGTTCCTAAAACTCCATATGAGTTATGGACGGGAAGGAAACCTAGTCTACGGTACCTAAAAGTGTGGGGTTGTCCGGCTGAAGCAAAAGTGTATAATCCTCAATTGAAGAAACTTGACATGAGAACCATTAGTTGTTCCTTCATTGGCTATCCCGAAAGATCTAAGGGATATAGGTTCTATTGCCCATCTCACACTACCCGAATTGTCGAGACTCGACATGCTGAATTCCTTGAGAATACTAACATTAGTGGGAGTAGTGATGGTTCAAACACTAATGATGATCTTCAAGAGGGTACTGGAATGAATCCACTTATTATACTGCCCATTCCACCTAACTCACCACTTGAAGATCATAGTGAGAGTCATACGCCTCATAATAATGATGCAACAAGTCAAGAGGCGAATGAAACTCCAATAAATGTTGAACCAACTCCACATGTTTCTAATGAAATTCCAGAAAATCAGCAATCTCTAAGGAGATCTCAAAGGGTGAGACGCCCCACAAATTTTGACGAATATTTGATATATTTAAATGAAGAAGCCGACTTTGATTTAGAGAAAGTCGTTGACCCTATATCTTTCCTTGATGCCATTAATTGTGACCAATCGATTCATTGGAAAGAAGCTATGAATGAAGAACTTCTTTCCATGGAGAAGAACAATGTTTGGGAACTTGTTGAATTACCAAAGGGTCATAAGCCCGTTGGAAGCAAGTGGGTCCTTAAAACTAAATTAGATCCAAATGGAAACATTGAAAGATACAAAGCAAGATTGGTTGCTAAGGGCTACACTCAAAGGGAAGGTGTAGATTATCAAGAGACCTTTTCACCTGTCTCTCGAAAGGACTCCCTAAGGGTCGTTATGGCTTTAGTAGCTCACTTTGATCTTGAGCTGCATCAAATGGACGTCAAAACAGCCTTCTTAAATGGAGATTTACACGAAGATGTTTATATGATACAACCTGAAGGTTATGTTTCTGAGGGTCAAGAACATCTAGTGTGTAAACTCAAGAAGTCTATTTATGGGCTCAAGCAAGCGTCTCGACAATGGTACCTCAAATTTGATGAAGTCATGAAATCAAATGGCTTCATTAAAAACAAAGTAGATCAATGCACTTATCTCAAAATGAGTGGGAGCAAATTCATCATACTTGTGTTATATGTTGATGACATCTTATTAGCAAGTAGTGATCTGGATTTATTGCATGAAACAAAACGCTTATTATTTGGCCATTTTGACATGAAAGATTTAGGTGAAGCTTCTTATGTTATAGGCATTGAAATTCACCGAGATCGAGTCAAAGGGACGTTAGGTTTGTCCCAAAAGGCATACATTGAGCGTATTTTAGAACGTTTTAACATGCAACAATGCTCTCCATCAGTTGCTCCAGTAGTTAAGGGAGACGTTTTTGGGTCATTCCAATGCCCAAAAACCGAGGTTGAGAAAGAGCAAATGAAACTCATTCCTTATGCTTCTGTAGTTGGAAGCCTGATGTATGCTCAAGTTTGTACTCGTCCAGATATCGCCTATGTATCCGGCATGTTGGGTAGATATCAATCTAACCCAGTATTAGATCATTGGAAAGCCGCTAAGAAAGTTTTGCGGTATCTTCAAGGGACTAAAGAGTACAAACTTACTTACCAGAGGTCTAATAATTTAGAAGTGGTGGGATATTCCGATTCTGACTTTGCTAAGTGCAAAGATGATAGGAAGTCTACTTCGGGATACATTTTCTTGCTGTCAGGTGGGCCAATATCTTGGAAAAGCCACAAGCAAAGACTTACGACTACTTCAACAATGATGGCTTAATATGTTGCGGTGTACAACGCAACGTGTCATGGGATGTTGCTAAGGAATCTTATCAAAGGATTCAAAGTAGTAAATTCTGTCTCAAGACCGCTAAGGATTTATTGTGACAATTCCGCGGCCGTGAGCTTCTCAAACAATAACAGTTCGAGTGGAGCGGGATTGTTCCTCGATACAAAGTATTTGTTCGTTCGAGAAAGAGTGGAGGAAAACGAAATTTGTATCGAACACATCAGCACGAATAATATGCTAGCAGATCCTCTCACTAAAGGACTTTCGCCCAGTATTTTTCAAAGACATGTCACTAATATGGGCTTGATGAAAGATCCTGTTTAGGAAATTATAGCGCAGTGCCTGAATAACTATCTTATGTATTAATTTCAAGTACTTGATTTAAAATTCCTCTCTAAGTATGTTTTGTCTATTCTTCATTGTGCACACAAAGTTATTTTAATAGACAAACATAATACCCTAAGTTTAATGTCATTTGGCTTATATTAATCCTTATACTCTTTAAGAAGTGTCAAAGTATGATTAATGGGGGTCCCGGGTTATATTGACCCGTTAGACTATATTTGTTTGCTTTGATATTATTATGGAGTAAGATGAATTTTTTTTGGCCAACTAATACTTTAACTTATGTATAATTGTATAAATGATCTCAAGGTCAAGTGGGAGAATGTTAGAAAATATTCCATTTAAGTGTCCTTGGACCATTTATATAATTTAATATAAATTGGGGACATTTATGTCTTACCATTAAGATTGCCATATGACAGATTTGGTCCCGGTATTTATGTACAGTTAACATATGATGGGTATGTTTTAACATTAAATAATACATAAGGGGCCAATGGGGTTTCTCTTTGATACAAGATATAAGGCTCGTTCGTTCCTCTTACGACTAAAACGAAAGAACGTGTTTCTTCCCAAAGGTCATAACACCTATATTAAGAGACCCAAGGGAGATCGTTCAATCCATCGCAAATCCGCTTGTATCCTTAGAGAATCCAACGACATCATGGCTTCATCATCTTCGTCATCAAAGTTTGGTTTCTCCTCAACCGGTTAGTGTTCTTATTGTTTGATTATATGAATTTTATCATGTTTAGTGAGACTAGATCCTTAATTGGGACTGAATTTCTCTTCAATCAATACTATCAATGTATGACATTTTTTATAGAGATTCTACACAATGACCCAAAGAAAAGAGATGATATTTGAATAGACAGAATTAATTTTATTTTTCACATTTACTATTAATCACCATTACATTAACACACCATAAACCCCAGGGCAAAATCACACATGTTATGAAATTTCAGATCCAAACTGACGCGATATTCATCATCTAACCGGAGATTTCAATGGACTTGACATCGGGCTTCTTCACCTCAGCCTTCGGAATGGTGACGGTGAGCACACCGTTCTCCATGGACGCCTTGATCTGATCCATCTTCGTGTCTTCCGGCAACCTGAACCGCCTCATGAATTTGCCGCTGCTCCGTTCCACTCTGTGCCACGTGTCGTTCTTCTCCTCCTTCTCGACCTTCCGCTCCCCGCTGATCTGAACAACGCGATCGTCTTCCACTTCGACCTTGACTTCCTCCTTCTTCAGCCCGGGAATGTCCGCCTTGATGACGTGAGCCTCCGGCGTCTCTTTCCAATCGACACGAGTGTTGACGAACGACGACGTCTCGCTGGAAGTAGGAAACGGGAACGATAGGTCGCGGAAAGGGTCCCAAACACCGAGGTCGGAAAGGTTGCTGTTTCTCCGGCCACCAAATATGCTTGGAATCAGAGACATCTTCAGATTAGTTGTGAATTGAATAACTGGTTGCGATTAGTTATTTAATTTTCAAATTAGAAAGCTCA